TAATAATAAACTAATAAATCATAAAATAATAAATAATAAAATAATAAGATAATAAATAATAATAATAAATAATAAATATATAAATAATAAATAATTGAATAATAAATATAATGAATATTAATAAATAATGTGATAATGAAATATGATAAATAATAAATATATAATAAATAATATAAATAATTAAATTAGAAAACACATTTCTGAGACAGTATGCTACAAACATTCATTACGACTCGGTGTAGAAGATGTGAGGCTTGCAAGCGAAACTACCCAACAGTGACAAGTGGATGTAGAGCACGCACGTTGGAATACAAAAGAGGCATGATGGAGTGGCGAAGCAGGTCCAATTTGCAAATTGGGCCCAAATAAAAATTTGTTTGGGGGCCAAAAAAAAAAAAAAAAAAATTGGAGAATATACTTACTGCGGCACTTCATCGCCGCTATGGTATATGAGAATGTGCCTTGAAAGTAGTGGGCACACTCTACTGGATTGCTCCATTATATTTTTTTGACAGCATGTCGGCGCAATAGACCCGAATAATAAGTACATTGATAGAAACATCAGCAGGTTTTCCTTATCGATATATATAACCACATACCCACGTATGGGAAAAATACTCAATGAGAAGGTCCAGACGGTATCCGATCTCGCTGAATTCGCAACTCAGTGGAAACTTCAGTAAAGTGACAACTGTGCCTTATGATAATATCAGCTAAAGGAGTGAATCACGAGATGAACACTTCGGGCACTGGAGTGTCTTCCTTTGGAGAAGAAGAAAAAGAAGAAGAAGAAGAAAAGAAGAAGAAAGAAGAGAAAAAGAAGAAGAATGAAGAAGAAAAGAAGAAGAAGACAGAGAAAAGAAGAAGAAGAGAAAAAGAGAGAAGAAGAAAAAGAAGAAAGAAGAAGAGGAAGAAGAGGAAGAAGAGGAAGAAGAGGAAGAAGAAGAAGAGGAAGAAGAGGAAGAAGAGGAAGAAGAGGAAGAAGAAGAAGAAAGTATACAGGAAATTACATAAACCCAAGTCACAGTTTTGTTTAAGAATTATTTTAAAATCCAATTTTTTGCTATATTAAATCAAAATGTGTGTTACACAGATATTTATAATTCTACAAAGCAAAATATTTTATCCAAAATAGTGGCCAACTTTTAGAAATAAAATGATTTTTAGTAAATATTATTTTTTATTTTCGAACTAGACTTCGTAATGCAGATTTACATCCTCTACACGGCAAAATTATTTCCACATTTGAACTGTCTCTGAGACATAATCTAGATCTGCAAAGCGTCACTGTCCATGTCTTATTATGTTGGCTTTGGTTACATTTTATTAGAGTATGTATTTAGTATTTTGATTTAAGATTATCACAAGAAGAGGATCATGCAATTTTCTTCAAGAACACCGCAATGGAATAGTGCATTTTATTTGTGACCATTTGAAGTGTTCTCATTGTGAAAAAAGATAGTTGAAAAATAATTTAATGGTTATTAAAATTTCAATAAAATTATTTTATGATGTATGTTAATACTATAATAATAGTTATTATTATTATTATTGGGTAGTAGTAGTAGTAGTAGTAGTAGTAGTAGTAGTAGTAGTAGTAGTAGTAGTAGTAGTAGTAGTATAACTTATTTTACTGCCAGATATTCCTCATTGGATGTATTGTAGCTAACCATTTCATTACATTTCTCGCATTTGTCCATTGGTTACCGACTTATACCCAAAGAGGTTCCCATATATGGATGTATCTACCCTTTGGCGTGAAGACTTGGACACGTTGTAAGCTTTACTGGCGTTTCAGACCATCCTCTTATGGATACTTTTGATCCCTGCTGTATAAAATAATGCATTAAATGAGATATTTAAGCATCTTCTTCACCATGAGTTTAATTCATTTCCCCAGTTATTCTTTTTTGTAAATTTTTTAGATATTTGGTCGCTCTTGCCCAGTGATAGACATTTAGATGAGTTATTAACAACTTTATATAAGATAAATTCTCCAAATGTGTTCTACTGATTTCACTGTGGGTGCTTGTATTTTTCATAGTATGAAAAATGGCACATTCTATGTAGAATTATGTTATTGGTTAATTACCGTGTAGATTCCATAATTCAATGGAAATTATTGAACAATGAATTATGAATTATGAATTATGCATTCTTTAATGAAATTGAGAGTGAAAAATATGGAATAGTTAAAAATAAATCAGTTTGAACAGATTATTATTGATTCTTTTCTAAATAGCACATGTTCTCTCTCTTCAAAGTAATATAATACTAAATTTAGTTTACTTTTATTAGAATGGTTTTGTTGGTATTCACAGCGCCAATGCATAATTTATAGGGGGCCTCAAATCTATGGCAGATGTGAAACATTTATTCATATTCGAAAACACTATTCTTTATAAAAGGTAGAACCAACTTTTTAATAAAATTGATGGAGAAAATCGCACATTAGTTATTTCCAAAACAAATATGTTTTTGTATAATTATAGTTTGTACAATATAGCAATATTGATGTTTAAAGCTCTTACATTATACTTAATGTGACGAGGAGTTGATGATTAACGCAAGACTCTACATGTAAGATCAGGCGCGAGATCTCCCAAATCTTTCGTACATATTCTAGAAGATTTATCACAAAATGTACCTAATAGAATATGACTATATTCTCGAACTAAGTGTTGCAAGTTGAGTACGTTGTATTATTGGTATATGCATCCCTGTGTCTTTAACTGAACTGTTATTTCCTTGGCTCGATCTAACTAGTAGAAACGTCAAGACTTCTGTGTTTAAATTCTCTATGGTTCGGGAGCGATGGGGCATGATTGCTGCTCTTAAGTTTACCGAACTCCTCCACTAAATGAGTACTCGATTGAAGCTCTCCTCTCCTTCGTATGGAATTACGGTGACTATTCCACTCGTTAAATTAAAACCAATAGTGTTTAACTACATATACAAAATACCTCAATCAGGGCGGTGTATCTCAAAACGTTTATCGCTTTTTCTATCCCATTTTTCTTACTGCTTCTTCCTACTGGCCAACTTCCTACTCCAAAACTGTGACTCATCTATCTTAGGAGGAGGTATTGAACATTGATCGCTATGTCGATGTCCACAATAAATCGCATATGTACTATAACGTAATATATTTGATTTTTAACATAGCTTTGTTATTTTCAATATTTGACGCATTGTGGACTGCTGGACATAATTTCATTCGTGGAATAGTCCTATTAAATACCACTCGTGCTTTGGAAATTCTCAGATAAATTCCCTCCTCGCTTCGGGAGTGGGGAATTTATCGACAATTTCCAAAGTACTTATGGTATTATCTGTGATAAATTAGCCTCACAACATTCCCAGTAGTACAACACATAACTCGCTATTGGATAAAGAAAAACAGTTTTCCTTTAGAAATGTGCTTATTTTTCGTCTGAAATCTATAAATCATTTTCTCTACTTGTGTGGGCTAATGATAAGATTTTGTGAACTGCACTTACATAGCAAGCAATTGAGAGATTACGGTTTCTTGTTCTTAATGTGCTTGAACGTTATGAAGCTATTACGTAGGTGATTTGAACGATATATTATAAGTTCCTACCTCCCAGTAGGCTACGTTTGTGATTCTGAAAATAAAGAAACTTCAGCCGCTTCTGTAGTTGAAAATTAATTCTTTATATGTATAGTAAACATATTACTCTTGGTAATCCACTTACTAAGCAAAAGTGGAAACACCTCCACAGCGGAATCTCGAATCCAGCTCCTCCCGGGCTCCAAATGGAGGCGGAAGAGCAGGCCAAAATGTTAACAGTCGGTTGTTGTTTCTTACTGCTGATGCTAGTTTAATGATATAGGTGGTCCTGGAAGTTTGACGTTGATCAGGACCAAACAAGATCAATTCATAAGTTCAGTACCAGGAAATTGTTGCTTATATATTTATTTTCATGTCTACGTTTCGCACACTTAGCATGTGCCTTTTCTAGAGTGTGTACTATATGTATGTACTTGGCGCGACAGCCCGTGAACGGGCTCAGGCCTACCGGCAACGTTCCTGCCTCGCGGCCATGGGTTAAGGTGTATGTGTGATGAGCACGTAGACATCCCCACGCCGTATTCCGGTCGTCTCAACCCGTGAAGTGAATTTTCTCATCGTCACACAGCGACCAGTCCTGGGATATTCCAAGGAAAACGCACAATACAGTTTTGGCTTGACCCGGGGCCGCGTAGTGGAAATATAGCACACTGACCAAGAGCCCTTTTCAAGAGCACTATAGATATTAAAAATTGACAATGACATTGAGCCATAGTCTAACACGATAAAAAATCTTAAGATATGGACATTAATTGTTTTAATTTACTTTCATAAAATTGGAGTTTGGATCCTAACGTGTAATATACTATTATACTAAATATCTTTTAAAAGTAGGAAGTAGAGTCATCTTGGGAGCTGAAGTAGCTTATGTGCTGGTTTGGCAGGACGTATACAAATGACTGGATAAGCTAAGTAATGAGCGTACATTGATTGCAAAGTAGGAGTCTCGTGGGGTGGGTTATGTAAATGAAGATGTTGATTCATTAATAATGATTTATAAATTTGATTTAGTTTTCGTAGGTCATAATTAGTATTCATAGTATCATTCAACATAATGTGTAACATTTCGGCAACAAATCATTTTGAGGTATACTTTTCGCAATGTAAAATTTGGACCTTATCGAACCCAATAGAGTGGTTACACTCTTCTCTGTGATTGGTTAAAGAGGTTTAAGGTGCCGCATTCTTGTTGATGACATTATAGACCAGTTTATTGATATATTGTTTGCTTTCCCAAATGTATACTAGCTGACCACATTGGATTTATCGTCAATTTTGGATTTATTTGCTATTTGGATTATATAATTCTAATGAACCTGTAACAAGAATTGAACTTCAGTTTCTGGGTCAATGGCCCCATCACGATCAGGTTTTCGTCCAGTTCCCTTGATCCTTGAGCACATACTGAGATGGCCCCTTGTTTTACATCTGGACATAAATGTAACTTCAAATTAAATTCTTCTCCTCATGGCATGTCACGCACAGTTTGTAACAGTTTTTGACGTAAATAAATAAAATTTTGATAAATAAATAAAAATAAATAAATATTTTTCTGTCCGTCGTCTAACCGGATGGTCTTGTTTAATTTGTAAAAGATAATGTCCAAATCATATTTTTGGAAGCATTCTTTTACATCTTAAACAAGATCAGCAGTCTATACCGAGTCATCTACATTATTATTATTATTATTATTATTATTATTATTATTATTATTATTATTATTATTATTATTGTTGTTGTTGTTGTTGTTGTTGTTGTTGTTGTTGTTGTTGTTGTTGTTGTTATTGCGGGCTGCCAACTGCATACTCCGGTCTTCTGGTTCCCTAACGAGGTACTCGGCGAGCATCATAAGCTGTAGCGCATCCTCGCGGATGTTCCGAAGTTGCATCGAGCAAGCAGCTTCGCTTTAAGTAGCAGCCGCGGTGGCGGCGGCGATGGCAGAGGAAGGAGGAAGGCGCCTGACGCCGTAGCCATTGCACCGTTCATTCTCCACGGAGCTCGCTGCTCAGCATTCTGCAACACACAGCTGGCGGCAGGGTAGTCACGGTGCCCCTGCGCCCTCGTAATGGCTTCCGCCACCATTACTTTCGACGTACGACGTACTTCTTTTTGAAAGTTATTCCAGCTTGGCCATAGGCCCTCTGTAACCTCTTAGGAAAAATAAATTGATAGTGATATATACATAAATCATTTGATTATATACATGTATATATATATATATATATA